GCCAACTGAGAAAGGGGAGACATAAAGCACAGTGCAGGATGATGGATCATTTACAAGCTAGAAACGGGCATTGTATAAAAGTAGCAAAGTCCTACAATAATTTATGTTGTGCCTAACCTTGTTCTCTTCTAAAAACTTTACTCTGTTCTGTGGATTTGTCATGTCTGTTAAGTCTTTCACATTGTTGATGTAAATGAGGCCCTGAGTCCTATTAACACAGCCAGGAGGGTCAGCTGACCTTGGATGAGATTGTGTAGAGTCATCATTGGTCACTGATTGACAGGGCAGGCGCGCCCAGGTCCTGGGATCTGTTTACCTGCACAAATACGTCTAATGTATCCGCCGATCTTCACAGATTTTGATTTCTGTCCTGAGCAGCAATAAAGCACTTATTACCTTTACAAGCATTGGGTTTTTCTTTTCCAATTTTTTTTTTTTTTTACCTGAAATATTATGGTATGTAACCAGACGAAATATCAGTAATGCAGAAATGTTCTCTGTCAGCCTTGTACACAGTAATAAGGCAGTGGCTGCCGGTAACATAATCAGCATTAACAACAAGCATTGGGTGATTATTTAACAGCATTGTCAGAGAATGCTCCAAATGTTGGCTCTCGTCTGTATGCGTTTTATTGCTATATTTTTCTGACCCAGATTCTCCATTATTCCTTCAAATACATTTGGCCCAAATTTCTACCGGAATCTACCCGATCTTCCTTCTTTTGGACTGCCAGGTGTCCTTTTTGAGTGCCTGTGTCCTTTTGCTAGAGACATTCATATTGGCTGAAAGAAGAGTCCATTGATGGGATCCTCAGCGGGTTCGGAGAACTCCCGACGGTAGTGCGATGCAGTCCTGGTAAAGGATGCCATTAGAGTGTAACTATAACTAAAGCTTTGTATTGTTTTTTTATAGAGTGGAAAGGGATTAGAACCCCTGATATTTTATTTTGCCCGTTCGGGATATTCAAAAAGCCATTTATAACTCTGCCCCAAATTACATCACCAATCTTGTCTAGAAATATTACCCAAACCGTACTCTCTCCGCTCCTCACATGACCTCCTGCTCTCTAGCTCCCTTGTCTTCTCCTCTCATGCTCGTCTCCAGGACTTCTCCAGAGCTTCCCCCATCCTCTCGAACTCTCTACCCCAATTTATCAGACTACCGCCTACTCTGCTCACTTTTAGGTGATCTCTGAAAACCTATCTCTTAAGGGAAGCCTATCCTGCCCTCCGCTAATAATGGAATCTTCTATTCCTCCTACCAGTCCATCCCCCACAGTTACTACCTTTTGTACCACTAGCCCCTCCCTCTTAGATTGTAAGCTCCAAGGAGCAGGGCCCTCCTAACCCTCTTGTCTTTAATCGTTATTAATAATAAACCTTTTCTACTTCACACAACACAAAAGCAGATCCACGTGGTCAGACATGTCTTGGCTCCAGGGAACCTAATCTGCAAAATATTTACACACCACCTCCCTTGTTGCTTGTGCATTGTGCAAGGTACAAAGTAAATGGTGGATTGAGAACTACACACATGCTAATGAGGCCCTCCAGTGATGACATCCACCATCCCATCCACGTGGGGGCACTGGACACCACATACACTGGGTGATTGTTGGCAAAGACTCGTGTCTTGATGGCAATGATTGTGGGATGATGACTCCCAAAATCCCTAGCCTACTAGGAAATTTCTTAATATAAAGTTTCTCAGATCTTGCTTCATTTTTGCCGCTTTTGTATTTCTTTGTGTAACCCCCACTTGATTATTTTTCGCTCCCTTCCTGTCTTTGGATGGCTGTAAAAGAAACTGGGGCAGGAATGTACAGTCAGCAATAAAACAATTGTCAGAATTGCTATCCCTTCCTCGCTTTATAATTATCAAAAAATATGTTTTGTCAATGTCAGATTTGCCATTATTTCCTGTCCTGAGGGAGAATCTCTTCAGTAGAGTCACATACAGCGGTAATAACAGAGGAGCTCAGCTTTCCCCATTATATACAAAACTAAATTCTTATGACCCCCCCTTCTTGGGTGCAATAGGAAAGGATTAATCCCCCCCCCACACCCTTTTTTTTTTTTTTTTTTTTTTTTTGTATTTTAGGAGATATTTCACTTTACATCCTGTCACAACCGAAAAGAGGTGTTCTCTTCAAAATTCATTTTAGCTGTCATCATTACAGATTTAGTCTTTGTTTCTGTTTAGGCAATAATTGCATAATTTTGCATTTTCTCTTGCAATTGGTCGCAGGACAAAGAGAAGGTGAAATCAGACCGCAACAACAACCTGACCAGGGGGTCCAACCCTTCCCTACACCACCCAAACTAAAGAAAAAGTTTAAGAATTAACTATTAGGCACTTGTTCTTCAAAATGACTGATTTTCAGGATAGTTTCCATTTCTGAACCTTTTTTCAGTAACAGCACCCATTAAAGGTACACAAAATCTTGAAGCACCGCTGATGTATATGTTACTTACCATCATCGGGAAATCTCAGCCTAGTACCATGCACACAGCCACTTTCATAAAAGTTCCCCCCCCCAACAGGTCAGTGTTCCACTCCCTTCCCAATCACATCAGTAGCATCTTCCCATCATAGACACCTCTCATCACATCAGAAGTCCCACCCTTCCAATTAGAGTACTCCTCCCCCTTCCAATCACAGGGTCCGCTCTTCTCTTTGGAGCCCTAACTTACTGCAGCAGGTAGAAGGAAGAGCAGGTCTAGAATGGAGGTGCACTCTGTCCTCTCCTGGATTTTGGAGACACCATTATCCTGGCCTTAGATCTAAAGGGAGCCTCAAATGCGCCCCCTGACATCACCAAAGCACATAATGTTCAGTATATGTAATGCTTGAGAGGACTGTCAGAGACTGCAGACCTGAGGAAATGAGGGTCAGAGAGTGAGGACAGGATACATTTCTGGCTGGCGATATGCTGCAGAAGACAATAGGAAACTGGGCACATGTTACACGAGGATAGTAGAGATCAATTCAATTTCTCTAATCAGTGTCCCCACAACAGACTGCTGAGGTCTGAGAGCTACACATCATAAACCAAAGGGCCACAGGTTGGGCACCAGGGCCTTAAAGCTTCATTGGTTGTCATGGTTTTGGTGGCCGGCCGGCCTGCACCATGGCAGCTCATGATGCGGATGCAATACAAAATGCATCTAGTATTTGGGGTACCCAGGAAACCCAAATGGAAACCCCAGAGTGTACACATCCCAGCCCCCAGTTGGGAAACACTGGAATATCCAATGGTTTTAAACCCCTGGTTATTTTTTATGTGGAATAATAGAAAAGAAGGAGCACCCGATGATTAAAAGAATGCATTTTTCATAGTAGATTGAGGCATTTATTGAGAGTAACAAGAAGTACATTAAGCCAACAAGTTTCGGGAGAAAGGACTTTCCCTTCTTCAGGGCTGTTGCTGCATGCTATTAAATGGGAAGAAAACCTAAGCCGGTTGTATATTTTCCAGGTTTCGGAGGAAAAAAAATGACAGAGTGACTGCTGTCATTCCAGGGGCAGCAAAATCAAAATGTTTATTTTTTTATGCCAGTTTCCAAATTATGATCTTTAATTTCCTGTCCCTTTTGGATACAACAGATTTCCCTTCTATTTCTGTTCTGATGACAATTGGAAAAGTTTGGATTCCCCATCACTTTCTGTTCCAGGACAGAGCAAGAGGGCTGGTTGCCCTCAGCCGAGACACAGATTGAATCGAAGCAAATGTTTTATCTAGAGAGACACTTTTTTAATAATAATATATTTTATATGAAATTTTTCAAAATACAAAGATACAAAAAAAAAAAAAATAGCGACATTAGTACAATAGGCCACCTTGCACAGGTGAAGACCTCAAAACCACTCTGGAAATATACACAGGATTTGGGCCAGCCAACAACTAACAGTGGAAATAAAACTGAATCCATAACTACATAAAAGGTGGAAAGTGCTCCAGGATTGAGGTGTGTGCCTGGCCCTAGGAATACACTAAGTTCAAAATGGTAACTTTTATTGCAGAACTGAAATAAAGGCTAATAAAAAGTTGATAAAAAGCAAAAAAAAAAAAAAAAAAATAAATAAAAAGCTTGCAGTTTTGACCTTCACCAGGTGACCTCTGAGTCCACCTGAATCAGAAGGTGACTGTTTATTGCACCTTGCGACACGTCTCTGTGAATGTCCCCCTCCACACACACCTGTCCACCTGCTCTGTATATGACTCAGCCAATGGTCACAGGAAGCTGACAACACCCTCCTATTTACATCTGATTATGTCACCATCTTTTGTTGATTATCACCCACCATCTAGTCTGCCAGTACAAGGACTTTAAGTGGACAGGTGCTAATGACTTGTGGATTAGCTGCCCTCCTCCTTTGTAAATGTGTGGAGGTCCTTTTCCATATCCAGGGAAAAGCGAGGAAACATTTCATGTCAGCATGTTAGAAGAGATGTAAGAGTTTGATCCTATTTAACAGTAATCTGTGTAATGCTGCCTCCTGTCCCTCTGTATTTTATGAATGGGGCTCCAGTTCCTGCTCACATTCTATGTCAGAAGTGTGACGCCCCATGATGCACAAATCAGGGGAGACCAGATATAGTGAATGCAGGGTCTGGGGAGAGCAGATATAGTGAATGCGGGGTCCAGGGGGAGCGGATATAGTAAATGCTGGGTCTGGGGAGAGTGGATATAGCGAATGGGGGGTTCGGGGAGAGCGGATATAGTGAATGCGGGGACCGGGGAGAGCGGATATAGTGAATGCGGGGTCCAGGGAGAGTGATTGTAGTGAATGCGGGGTCTGGGGAGAGTGGATATAGTGAATGCGGGGTCCGGGGAGAGCTGATATAGTGAATGCGGGGTCCAGGGAGAGCGGATATAGTGAATGCGGGGTCTGGGGAGAGCAGATATAGCGAATGCGGGTACCGGGGAGAGTGGCTATAGTGAATGCCGGGTCTGGGGAGAGCGGATATAGTTTAGGTGGGGTCCAGGGAGAGCGGATATAGTGAATGCAGGGTCCGGGGAGAGCTGATATAGTGAATGCAGGGTCTGGGGAGAGAGGATATAGTGAATGGGGGGTTCGGGGAGAGCGGATATAGTGAATGCGGGGTTTGGGGAGAGCAGATATAATGAATGCGGGGTCCAGGGGGAGCGGATATAGTAAATGCCGGGTCTGGGGAGAGTGGATATAGTGAATGGGGGGTTCGGGGAGAGCGGATAAAGTGAATGCGGGGTTCGGGGAGAGCGGATATAGTGAATGCGGGGTCGGGGGGGGCGGATATAGTGAATGCGGAGTCCAGGGAGAGTGATTGTAGTGAATGCGGGGTCTGGGGAGAGTGGATATAGTGAATGCGGGGTCCGGGGAGAGCTGATATAGTGAATGCGGGGTCCGGGGAGAGCGGATATAGCGAATGCTGGGTCTGGGGAGAGCTGATATAGCGAATGCGGGTACCGGGGAGAGTGGCTATAGTGAATGCCGGGTCTGGGGAGAGCGGATATAGTTTAGGTGGGGTCCAGGGAGAGCGGATATAGTGAATGCGGGGGGTCCGGGGAGAGCTGATATAGTTTAGGCGGGGTCTGGGGAGAGCGGATATAGTGAATGCGGGGTCCGGGGAGAGCGGATATAGTGAATGCGGGATCCGGGGAGAGCGGATATAGTGAATGCAGGGTCCGGGGAGAGCGGATATAGTGAATGCCGGGTCCAGGGAGAGCGAATATAGTGAATGCGGGGTCCAGGGAGAGCGGATATAGTGAATGCCGGGTCCGGGGAGAGCGAATATAGTGAATGCGGGGTCCGGGGAGAGCGGATATAGTGAATGCGGGGTCCGGGGAGAGCGGATATAGTGAATGCGGGATCCGGGGAGAGCGGATATAGTGAATGCAGGGTCCGGGGAGAGCGGATATAGTGAATGCCGGGTCCAGGGAGAGCGGATATAGTGAATGCGGGGTCCGGGGAGAGCGGATATAGTGAATGCCGGGTCCGGGGAGAGCGAATATAGTGAATGCGGGGTCCGGGGAGAGCGGATATAGTGAATGCGGGGTCCGGGGAGAGCGGATATAGTGAATGCGGGGTCCAGGGAGAGCGAATATAGTGAATGCAGGGGGGTCCGGGGAGAGCGGATATAGTGAATGCGGGGTCCGGGGAGAGCGGATATAGTGAATGTCGGGTCCGGGGAGAGCGAATATAGTGAATGGGGGGTCCGGGGAGAGCGGATATAGTGAATGCGGGGTCCGGGGAGAGCGGATATAGTGAATGCAGGGTCTGGGGGAGAGCGGATATAGTGAATGCGGGGTCCGGGGAGAGCGGATATAATGAATGCGGGTCCGGGGAGAGCGAATATAGTGAATGTGGGGTCCAGGGAGAACGGATATAGTTTATGCGGGGTCCGGGGAGAGCGGATACAGTGAATGCAGGGTCTGGGGAGAGCGGATATAGTGAATGCGGGGTCCGGGGAGAGCGGATATAGTGAATGCAGGGTCTGGGGAGAGCGGATATAGTGAATGCGGGGTCCGGGGAGAGCGGATATAATGAATGCCGGGTCCGGGGAGAGCGAATATAGTGAATGTGGGGTCCAGGGAGAACGGATATAGTTTATGCGGGGTCCGGGGAGAGCGGATACAGTGAATGCCGGGTTTGGGGTTTAGTAACACTTTAAGTATTGGGAGATCCTTATTTGGACCCTAAAAGAAACAACTTCCTTCAATTTTTAAAGAATGCTGCAAGGTGCTGCCAGATCTTCTGTGTCAGTTTTCTAGCACATATTAAAAATGAAAGGATTAATCTGGTTGGCTGTTAAAGGAAGCACATACCTTACATTTCAACAAGTGTTCCTAGAATTCAGTGATTTCTTTATCTTACACTAGAGGGCAGCATAGTTGCTTGTTTTGATCAGACAGAACTGTAAGGTCAATATTTGTCCTCACCCCCCCTCCCCCCCCAATAACCTGCAGACATCTTGCAATGGATGACCATGTAGTGTTTACTTTGTTTTACCATCCCCATTGTTTTAGATTCCCTATACTTTGGATTAGTTTTGTGCAGCCATTGCTGGAGACCTTGTTGACAGAAAATAATTGCAAAAATGCTGCATGCGATCAACAGCAATAAGATGTAACAAAGGATGAAAAAATATGCAAACAAGAATTTTTGTTAAGGTAATTTTTTTTATTATACACCAAGCTTTAGCAAAGAAAATATCGTAGTTCTTAAAGAGCACATGGACACTCGCGTTATGCATCAATTATTTCCCGTAGTAATGAAATATATTAATAATGGCCATAAAAGAAACATGGAGTAGTAGATTGATGGTGCTGGAACCTAGAGCCAGCCATAGATGGATCGAATCTGGGCTGGTTCAGCAGGGACCAGCTAAGACTCAATCCATCTATGGCTGGGCTGATAATACCCAACCCAACTTGGGCACAATCAGCCTGTTGGATTTTTAGCATGCGATTGCTGTCGGCAGCTATAGCTGCTAGCAGTAATCATGGTGTTCTGCCAGCCGGGAAGGTTTGTATAACACTGACTGTGTTGATGGGGGAAGGGAAGTAAATTGATTCATCTAGGGCAGGTCTACACTTTCTGGGGGGCCGGACTGTGGCCAGTGGGAGTAGAAAATGTCCAGAAGTCAGTGGGAGGAATAGTGCCCCATCTTTGGTATTGGGAGGAAGAATACCCCCTGGTTGGTTTCAGTGAAAAAGGAATAATGCTCCATGGTTGGTGTCATTGGTAGGAATAGTATCCCATTGTTGGTGTCAGTGGGATGAATAGTGCCCCATCACTGGTGTCAGTAGCAGGAATTATTGGTGTTAGTGGAAGAAATAGTGGGAATGGGAGGAAAAATGCCCCATTGTTCATATCAGTGAGAGGAATAGTGCATCATCCTTAGTGTCAGTGGAAGGAATAATTGGTGTCAGTAAAAGAAATAGTGGGGATGGTAGGTATAGTGCTCCTTTGTGGGTGTTAGTTGAAGGAATAGTGACCCATTGTCAGTGGGAGGAATAGTGCCCCATCATTGATATCAGTGGGAGGAATAGTGCCCCATCATTGGTATCAGTGGGAGGAATAGTGCCCCAACATTGGTGTCAGTGGGAGGAATAGTGTCCCATCATTGATATCAGTGGGAGGAATAGTGCCCCATCATTGGTATCAGTGGGAGGAATAGTGCCCCATCATTGGTGTCAGTGGGAGGAATAGTGCCCCATCATTGGTGTCAGTGGGAGGAATAGTGCCCCATCATTGGTGTCAGTGGGAGGAATAGTGCCCCATCATTGGTGTCAGTGTGGAGGAATAGTGCCCCATATTGGTGTCAGTGGCAGGAATTATTGGTGTCAGTGGAAGAAATAGTAGGAATGGGAAGTATAGTGTTCCATTGTTGGTGTCAGTTGAAGGGATAGTGACCCATTGTTGATGTCAGTGGGAGGAATAGTGCCCCATCATTGGTGTCAGTGGAAGAAATAGTGGGAATGGGAGGTATAGTACTCCATTGTTAGTATCAGTTGAAGGAATAGTGCCCCATCATTGGTGTCAGTGGGAGGAATAGTGCCCCATCATTGGTGTCAGTCGGAGGAATGGTGCCCTATCATTGGTGTCAGTGGGAGGAATAGTGCCTCATCATTGGTGTCCGTGACAGGAATTATTGGTGTCAGTGGAAGAAATAGTGGGAATGGGAAGTATAGTACTCCATTGTTGGTGTCAGTTGAAGGAATAGTGACCCATTGGTGGTGTCAGTTGGAGGAATAATGCCCCATCATTGGTGTCAGTGGGAGGAATAGTGCCCCATCATTGGTGTCAGTCGGAGGAATAGTGCCCCATCATTGGTGTCCGTGACAGGAATTATTGGTGTCAGTGGAAGAAATAGTGGGAATGGGAAGTATAGTACTCCATTGTTGGTGTCAGTTGAAGGAATAGTGACCCATTGTTGGTGTCAGTGGGAGGAATAGTGCCCCAAGGACCAGGTAAAGGCAAGCAAAGGGTCACATCCAGCCCCGGCCTGCAGTTTGGAGACCACTCATCTATGGCTTGCTTTAAGATAATGGTAAATATGATTCAGTACTGTTGGGGATGTTGTGCTGATAGTGTCCCTGTGGAGCTTCTGGGCTGTCTCTGTGCACCAAGGAACTACCATGATAACCTCAGGATGTGAAGACTGTAACTGAAAATTAAATCAAGGCACCACATCGAATTATTGGATTCCAAAGTAAGGTTTTATTTCAAACATGAACTGAGTACAAAAGCCAAAGTGTTTCTGGGGCCACACATCGACCCCTTCATCAGGGCTACAAGATAAATATATATATATAATACACACACATAATCTCCTAGATTGTAAGCTCCCAGGATCAGGGCCCTCCTATCCCTCTTGTATTGATCTGTATTGTTGCTGTATTGTCTCCCGTTATATTGTAAAGCGCTGAGCAAACTGTTGGCGCCATAAATCCTGTATAATAATAATAATAATTACCATTCTGCATATACAGTAAACAATCATCAAACACCCTTTGTATTTGTAGTTCGCAGATGTAGTACTACGATATGACCACTTGGTAGCATTACAGGACCTGCCTAGACATTACAATGCCAGTCCCAGAGGCATTCATGTACAGACACAGGACATTGCATACATAAAGAATACAGAGGTGTAAGGAACCATCCCGCCTCTACAGGTGATCCAGTTGAGGCATTTGGAGTTGGACTCCTAGAGCTCCACCTATACATAGTGTTTGTATAGTGAGGACACCTTGATTATTGTACTTTCATTGTTGGCCCAGACTCCAACAAGTGTCATTTATCTGTCACTGCACAGATAAGCACCTCATTAGCTGGACAGGTTATCAGTGCAAGGTTAACCCTTTCTTCTCAAGGCTGGGAACGCTGAACCTCATTGCAGCTGTTCCTGTATTGCATGGGGTCCACCCGGATCTTAGCAGATATCGCCTCCAGTCAATCATTTTTGAGGTTTGATTTTTCTGGCTGCTGTCTGTTTCCCTCTAGATAAGGCGGGGGGTGGGGGGGTTTCAGCTCAGTGCATGGGCTTACCTGTACAGGTGATCTCAACGTACACAGGTCACAACCTCTCGCCTATGTCTGTTGGCACATCAGTGACGTGTTCAGCCACGTGCTCCCAGACTCCTGCATGCAACATTTTCTGGTGCACTTTCTGTAGGATGCAGTGATAGACTTCCTCAAAGGCAAGGTGATCCAAATTTCACTCTGACAACCCCACATCTTTCCACTAAAGCTGAGCAAAGCCCCAACCTGGCCATCAATGTGGCAATTTTTAGTCAATATCAACTACTTTTGAGCCCCTGAGAATAGCAAGAAAATTGCAAGTAATGGTCAGAAACAAAGCAACCGTCCACCCATGAGTAAGACTGAGCCCCAGAGTTTAGGCTGATTGTGAAGTCAAATCCAGGCAATAAATTGAAACATTTAAATACAACTTATTAGGCTTCATTCACACAGGACGCTTAAAAAACGCTGCTCCTCGAGGAACGCCTGATGCTTGTAAAAGTGCTTTTACAAGCATTTAGGCGCGTTTATTCATTATTGATCGTTTATTCAATATTGATCATTCATTATTTATTCATTTCGTTGGTCAGAATAATAGTTTATTCTAGGCATTTGAAATGAAGTAACGCTCAAGCGCTAAACCGTCTAGCATTTAGGTTTAGATGCGTTTACATGCATTTACACGCATCAAGCATTTTTTTTCTGGCCAAACCCTGCTGCTCCTGGACACACTGGCTGTGGATTTTTGGTTTACAGCTCCTAAAAGCCCCTGCCACTAAAATCTTCTAAAAGTCTATGAGTTAGATTTACTTAACCTGGCTTACTCAGAATCTGGTGCGTCTGTACATA